AATTTAGTCCAATGCTTAGAAACAGCATTATTAATGAAGACATGTTAACTTTTACATGAATAGACACAAGTAACATATAATTCAAAATTTCTTCGTTTAGCCTGCAACGAATATTTAATGGCAATAGAATAAGATACAGAGTAAAAGTTACCTGCAAATGGAGAAAGTGTGTTCTGCTTGTTGTAGATGTGATGTGTTGCATGAAGATACTTGTACAGAGGTTTTATGTCGTGCAACTCTCTATGCATCCAGTAAATCCCAAATTCAACAATTGCTAAATATACTACCAAATACACAAGGTAACCAGACCATCCAATATCATTTATTCTAGAAAAACACCTTGTCCAGCCATTCTCAACCATGTACTCTGAAAGTGTTGGAAGAGCAGAATACCATGGCATGGCCTTCATTGCAACAAATGTTTGCAAAAACATGGCCTTGTTTGAAGGGATGGCATCTGTACAAACAGCATTAAACCAGAACTTCGAAATGTCAACTTGAAATTTCTAAAAAGAGATCCTATTTCAATACTCAAAATATCAGTATATAGTGAAGTATGACTTGAACCTTAACTCCAATTAAATTTTTTGGTTTTCTTCCTTTTAGGTTGGAAGTTTTTCATCCAGATAGACACAAAAAAGATCCCATGAATAAAAATGTAAAGATACCAATGTACCAATGAAGCCACATTCCAAAATCCAGTGTCAATCTGTTATAAAAGGTACAAATTTTCATGAAACTGTGTAGTCCAAGTGAGAATTGGGAAAGAAAAGGAACTCATGCATAATTTACAGCATGAACCAAATGAATAGAAATCCTCTGCATGCTTTAATCCTTTTGAGATGTATAATTTATGAGCTATTATCAAATTTAAGGATGAAGAGGAAAAAGGTAAGACTAAACGTACACTAGCAAATGTAGTTCATCAGTGTTCCATTGTGTAATTAAAATATCCACTTAAAGTTCAGAAATGTAAGTAACCAAGAAAACATGTCTCAGGCTTATTAACAGTCAACCATATGATATTTGCCTGAGGTCAATATCAATGTTCTGTACTCTAGTAATTCTGCTGACACTCATCCATTGAAATATGAAGCTATTTAAATATGGAATTTGTCAATTTGACAAATAATAATGACCAATCTATGATACCTAGATCTTTCATTTTGCCTCAAGGTCTCTGTGTTGACATTGGGCATGGGATATGTAAAGATCTTCCAAATTCCTAACTTTTTTTTTGTTCTGAGTTTTTTCTGGATTCGTAATGTGCCCACATGCACCCAACAATAACAGTACAGTTATTGATACAAGGTACTGCAATTTCATCTTAAAACTTGCTATGAAGTGCCTAATATCTGTAAACCAATGCAGTGCATACTTTATGTGCTTTATTACATTTTAAGCGTATTATTATCAGTAGAAGCTCATTATTGTATTCTTTTTACTGTTAATGTTCTCTTCTTGGGTGTCAATAATGAAATACATCTACATTAGTAAATAGGAAAATGCAAAGATGGTTCTAATCCACAATTTGAAGTTGGTCTATAGCATCGAAGCTATCCAAATGTGTCTCATGGTCTGTGTTTTCAGTACATCAACTCAAAACACATTTTATTGTTTTAGATGCTCAGGCATCCCAAATCCCAAAACAATGCTTATCAGGACCAGCCTAGCACCATCCTATTAAATACAGCTTAAAAGAAATCCATAGAAGATGAGCCTCAAGTCCCAATGATGGGGGAAGCTAGAATGCTCTGAATATGTATAATAAGATCTAAATAGATTATCTAGTGGAGCCAAAATTAGTAAATCACGGTGGCAACAAAGAAAAAAGTCCTATTACATCAATTACAACAAGCAACTTGCAAGGTAAGTTTCAACAACCACTGATTCACCAAACCAAAAACGTTGCGTTATGATGCTATCACATTGGTCATAAGCAGATATTCAAGAGTAGGACTCTAAATCACTTGATCCATCAGGCTAGACAAGTCGTGTGATCCTATCAAAGTAGTGCCAAACGGAAATTCAAAGCAGAGGACAGACTGCATAGTCATTTATGTAACCATGCCAGAAATTCAAAGAAAAGGAATGAATTCACTGATTGTGGAAAAGTTGTAACGCCATTGAGATAACAAACTCATCACGTGATCCAGATAGTTCATGTGGAACAAGCCTTGTGCGTAAATCCAAGAAATCACATGGAATTCCAACTTCCAAAGGTCACTAAACAATGAACTCTAGAGTGATCCACACGGAGAGGCAGAACTACATGCCGGCTGTCAGATGCGGAGATGACTATATTGGGAATCATGACTTTTCAACATTGTTGTATCACTTACCATCTTCTCCTTGTCGGGAAAAAAATAAAAGCATAGTTCTCAATCAGAAAACAAAAAGAAAAGAGCAAAAATGAAGGTACAAATAAGACCATAGAGGTCAAGCATCCAGAGAACAAATTAGATCAGAACTTCGAGTATAGCAGTAGAAGAGAACTAGAAGAGAATAACAAACAGCTAGAAGAGAATATTCAAGGAGCTCATCCTTTCCAATACAACAAAGATTAACAGAGACATAAAAAGATCCAAGAGAGAAGTCTTTCGATGATAAAATCAAGGGAAGAAAAAAGAAAATAAAAAAGATGATACCTTTAGGAAGATAAACATTTCGCTTCCAGTAGTAGATATAGAAGCACCATAGAAATCCAGAGATGAAATAAATGGCCGTTGCTCCAATGTAATTCCGAATCCACGTTTGGAGGAAGTGAGGGAGCGGTTTCCAGAGATTCTCCGGCAAAAAGCTGCCAAGAACAATACGGTTGTAAAAGTTGGTTTCGTCCACGAAAAGCTGCAAATAATCTTCCATTCTTATCAGAAAAATCGAGCCAGATTCCGGCGACTATAGCCTGAATATATGAACGGAGATTCCAATGAAAGAAAGAGAATGAATACAAAGAGAGTAAAGCTGGAAGCCTGGAACGAGTGGAAAAGTGAGAGTATCACAGAGATTCGGGAGCAAAGAACGTGCGAAGTAAAACTGTAAAAAGGTGGAGAGGATGCCAGCACCGTTTACAGAGATAATCGTATCGACAGGACAGAGACAAGTTTCAACCAAGAGCAGTAACTGGGGGTTGGATTTTGTTGATTGATTTTCTCAGGACCAAGTTAGCCTCGTTTGTTAACGTAATTTACGAAGACCTGTTCATGGGCCGGGTAGCCCGATGGCCCGGCCCGCACCCCGGTCGGGTTTGGTCATGTAATTAGGCCTTACCTCGGGCCTAACACAATAAGCCCGACTGTGTTATGGGCCGGGTTCGAGATTTGTAAAAAAGCCCGGCCCAAGCCTGGCCCGGCCCGATTCAACATTATATATTTTATAAAATATATAATATGTATTTTATATATTATATAAAATATATAAATAATATAGTATTTATTGAAATATATATATTTATAATTTAATATATATATTTTTTTATTTTTTTCTTTATAGTTTCTCTCACTCTCTCTCTCTCTATTCAGCCGCTTCAACAATAGTAATATTATGGGCTAAATTTCGGGCTCGGGCTCACCCGGGCTTCGAGCTTTTTTATGAGGGCCAGACTCGGGCCCAAGTTGTAGGCCCAATGGTCGGGCTGGGCTCGGATTCGGGCCTTAGAAAAATCTGTTAATAGAGAGTAAAAACCCGATCCGAATAGATCTAATCACTAGGGCTCTTCACGCAAATCACGTTAACCTAGCAAGTTAGCAGTTAACAGAGACTTAATGTAAACCGTAATAATGCCGAATGCATGGTTGGAGTTGGAGATACAAACGTATCAGGCAGGAAAAGCCCTGTTGACAGCGCAGGCCGTTACGGCCAAAATTTGTTGGGAGAATGACTGTTCAGTCCACTCAGACTTCTTATTTTTACTGTAGAAGTGGGATAAATGTTGATCATGGATCGATGTCAAATTTACGTACAGAATATGGTTTATAGGGGCCTATTAATAGACTACAGGGGCTGTAATTTCAGAATTATACTTCTCCCAAATTTTTTGCATCGCTTAATTAGCAAAATTTAAAAAAATATTAATTAATACAGATATTTTATTAAATTTTGTATCAACTATAAAGTATTTCTTTACAAAAATGTGAGTTGAACCACGATGCATTTGTTAATATTGATTGCATATTAAATTTATATCTCAATCAATTACATTTTTATTGATTGAAATTTTATAAAATATATTTTTAATTATTATTACATTTAACCAATCATGTCTTTTAATGCATGATGCATTGGATGTACCATTAATTTTTTCGAAAAATGTTTATATTAGAATGTAAAATCACTGGGCACATTATATATCTTTTTAAATAAATACATCACTATCATTATGTTTGGTTTGAAAGAAATGATAGGAAAAAGAAAGGGAAAACTGAAAAACTTATACAAGGTTTGCAAAAGTTTCCCTTCCTTTTCCTACTTTTTACTTCAAACAAAAAACTGAGCCTATCATTTGCTTTTTGCTTTGGTGGCACAGGGCACATTTCACACTTTGATGGAGAGTAAGAAATTATACTTACAATAATCAATAATAATAAGTGGTTTTATCTTTCAAGGTGGTGTTGGGTAAGGAAGGGGATGTATTCAAGTAACCCCATTTAGTTCTTTATTTATCTTTTTAATTAAAAGAATATTGGCTTCAATTACTCTTTTCATCCACGCCTACGCAAGTGTATCATGCAAAAAGCGATGGTTCATGGTTCTAGAAACAAGCTAGCATTGTAGGTGTTGGAATGGGCATAGTCATAGTTGAACCCAATCCCCAAATCTTGCACACGTCTAGACCTGGGACCTGGCAATTGAGTTGAGTGGGTTGGGTTAAGATACTTCGGGTTGATTTTGGATCGGGTTGATTTTAGGTTGGGTTATCAAATGCTAGATTCATGGGTCAATTCGGGTCATCCCAAAAAAATAAAGAAAAACTACATGAAAAATGTCAAAATTAAAGGAATTAACCTTAAAATTCCAAATATAAAATAAAAAAACTTGAATATTTAACAATTTAAAGAGTAAACAATAAAGTGCAAAGACTAAATAGAAAAAATTAAAGAGTGGAAATTTCTAACAATGCATAAATAGTCCCAATTAAACTTGACAATCAGGTCAACGGGTTGATCCATGACCCAATCCAACCCAACCTAGCTTTTTCCGGGTTGGGTCATTCTCACATTCAAGTAGTTAAATATGAGACCCTAACCCTGTTTTTTCGAGTTGGATTGGGTTGGATTCACGGGTTGGGTCAACTTTTTGCTAAGCCTACACACGTCACATACCTTTCACCCCACAATTTCATTGTACAAACAATCTGCAGATTGATGGTTCATTTGATCATCAAATAGGGCATGTAGGACGAGCATTCATTCTCGAACACACCATAGGTGAAACCATTGCTGAAGGCAAGGCTTGTTGGGCAACTTCAAGTTATGATGCCAAAGTAAGAGCTCTACTAACAGGGTTGGAAGTAGTTATAAATATATACATACAAACTTGTGTAGGTACATAGTGTTTGCTCAGTCCTTCAGAGTCCAAAAGACACTGAATCGATAACATATGGACGTTTGCGATTAGTCTTTAGTTTACCAGTCACTTGCGATGAATTCATAGCGCACCACATGTTTGTAATAAAGTCACAGTTCATCATACGTTCGTGATGGACTCACGCTTAACCCGAGCCTAAAATAAGTTCTAGTTAGACCCACGATGAATTTTATGAGTTCGGTCCCACGATGAACCTTAGACGCATACGACCTTGTGATAAACCTACAACACAGTCCTGCGATGAACTTCGGAGATACACAGGCATGTGACGAACCCGAGACCATTACAGAAGTATGAATCACATTTCATTTAAAAAAGTAATTGTGATAAATAAGAATTATTTTTATTAATGATGAAAATATAATACACAAAATAGGAGAAAAAGAGAATTAATATCTAACTTCTGACCTCTTGACTAGTTTAAAATGTTTGATGGTTCAATTAGCTGGGTCACCATAACGTTGATAACATCAATAGTTTTTTTTTTTTTTGCAAGCAAACTTGCTTTTAACCAGCCATTTTTACCATGGGATAAAAGACACAAATAAAAAGCCAATGTTTCAAAAATCAGTTGAACTATATTCCTCCTAATCAAACAAGTCAGTTTGTGGTGTCATACATTAAATAATAAAAATCTTTATAAATTTGTAGAAATTTGAGCATTTTAGTATTATTTATTCATCATATTAAACAAAGTTATTTGAAAAAATAAGAATTATTGTTATCAATGATGAAAGTGACAAAAAAAAAAGAAAACATAAAAAGAGAATGAATGTCTTAACCGTGGCCCATTGATTTGGCCAAATAGGTCAGCAATCCAACCAATAAGATCACATTTGTTGACCTAGTCAATGTCACTTTGCAAAAAATGTGGCTTAGGATGAAACATACTTAGAAATTTCTCACAATAACAAGTGAATCAATTTGGATCTTCATTTCAACTATAAGTTAAGACATCTATATATAAACTACAAGAAGATTTGAAGTTAGGTCTCTAGGTTGCAATAAGGAAATTAAAATACACTAATACACCATACTTTGATTACTTGTATTCACGTTACATGGGTTCCTATAATTAAGAAAACTAAAATTATCATCTATCATCGTCATTTGAAATTGTGATGTACAATGCATATGCATATTTATTAATCATTAAAAAAACACAATAATTATCCATAATTATATCTAAATAATAATTAATATTCAAATAAAATTGTCAGAAATTTCATGTCAGACCTCTTGTTTTCTCGTTTTGTTTGCAATTTTATAATCACTAGGGCTTTCATCAAACCCATAAACCCCCACAGTGAAGGTAAGACTCCATCCTAATTCTAGAGGCATAAATTTTCACAGTTTGTACCACTTGATTCAGCGAATCATAGAAGGCATGTCTTACAAGTAGGGGTGTTAATGGACCAGGTCTGGGTTGGACCCTGTCCCAATCAAAATCAATTTAAATGGATTGGAAGGACCAATAAGATATATTGAATTGAAAATTTGGAACAGCCCAGACTTAATGGTCCAAAGTATTTATCGGATACAACCGGATGTGGTCCATTTGCAATGAATTTATATTGCTGAACTGAATCGGGTTGAACCAATATCCGATCCACACAAGATAAGAGTATTATGAGTGTCAATGGACCAAATTTGGATTGGTCCCAATCTAAATTAAAATCAATTTGAGCAATTTAGACAATCCATACATTGAAATGGGCAGAATGGTCCAAAGCATTCGTCAGATTAAATTAAATCTGACCCATCTGTAATAGACTCATTGTGGACCGGGTCGAATTGGACCAATAATAGGCCCACTGATAGCGCTACTTAACGTCCTAGTTTCTACTATATTTATACAATAGATCAGATCATCTTCAACAATAAGTACATTTTGGATTCAATTAGGCTTCGTGAGAATCGACTGACACTTACCACACCTGTCAAGATCAAGAAGGATATCATATCAAGATGGCGTTTTCACGCTTTGTAAATAACTAGATGTAGAGAGAATCCCCACCACCTTGACTTTTTAGCAAATATCATTTTCACAGAACTGATCGATCGAGGCAGCAGGAATTTAAATCCAATTCCGCTCCACAATGTAAAGAATAAACATGTGGTTGTAACTTTTGAGCTGTCACTTGCCCCCGCCTTGCTGGACTTCTTTTCAATTGGGTATTTAAAATGAATTAATCTCGTTCTCCATTATTTAAATTTAATAGGCTAAGCTTCTGTAGTTCCTTTAAAACAACAAAAAAAAATGGTAAACTATTACGCTCATAATCGCTTTTATTTACACAATCGCCCATGTTTTCATTTTCATAACAGTTAATTTTCGTTATCTCTCTCTCTCTTCTGGGCTAACGAATTTTCGTTAATCCATGCATATTAAGGAACAAATAGTGGCTGTTGGTAAGTTGAGAGTCATAAACTTAACACGTTAACCCATTGTTTTTAAAATCGACCCGGAGACCGAATCGATCAGGGTCAGGTTATAAAGTGGAACGGTCGGCCCATTTT